GAACTGCAGGGCACAAAGGGAAGAGATGTAAATGGGCTAGAGRAAGACCTTCCACGGGTTGAGAAGGATTGGGTTAGGGTTCACTTAGGCAAACTGGCCACTCAAATATCTATGGGCCCAGATGGGATGCACCCAAGAGTGCTGAGGGAACTGGCCGAGGTTATTGCTCAGCCTCTCTCCATCATCCTTGAGAGCTCCTGGAGAGCAGGGGAGGTTCCCGAGCACTGGAAGAGAGCCAACGTCACTCCAGTCTTCAAAAWGGGCAAGAGGGAGGAGTCGAGCAATTACAGACCGATCAGCCTCACCTCCGTCCCGGGAAAGGTGATGGTGCAGTTCATCCTAGAGAGAATCTCCAGGCATATGGAGGAGAAGAAGGTGTTGAGGAGTAGTCAGCATGGATTCACCAAGGGGAAGTCATGTCTGAYGAACCTCATAGCCTTCTATGATAGGATGACAGGCAGGCTGGAGGAGGGGAGAGCCGTGGACGTTGTCTACCTTGACTTAAGCAAGGCTTTTGACACTGTCTCCCATACTATCCTCATATGGAAGCTCCGGGAGAGTGGACTAGATGAGTGCACGGTGCGGTGGATYGASGGCTGGCTGGATGGCAGAGCTCAGAGGGTGGTGATAAATGGRGCCGAGTCCAGTTGGAGGCCTGTGGCCAGTGGTGTCCCCCAGGGATCAGTGCTGGGCCCGGTGCTCTTCAATTTGTTCATCAAGGACCTGGATGAGGGCACAGAGTGCACCCTGAGCAATTTTGCAGACGACACCAAACGGGGTGGAGTGGCCGACACTCCGGAGGGCTGTGTTGCCACTCAGAGCGACCTGGACAGGCTGGTGAGTTGGGCAGAGAGGAACCTCATGAGGTTCAATAAGGACAAGTGCAGGGTCCTGCGCCTGGTCAGGAATAACCCCAGGCACCAGTACAGATTAGGGGTCGACCTGCTAGAAAGCAGCTCCACGGAGAGGGACCTGGGAGTCCTGGTTGACACTAAGTTAACCATAAGTCAGCAGTGTGCCCTCGTGGCCAAGAAGGCCAATGGGATCCTGGCCTGCATCAGGAGGAGTGTTGCCAGCAGGTCAAGGGAGGTGATTCTGCCCCTCTACTCAGCTCTGGTGAGGCCGCACCTGGAATATTGTGTTCAGTTCTGGGCTCCCCAGTATAAGAGGGATGAGGAGCTTCTAGAGAGGGTCCAGAGAAGAACAACTAAGATGATTAAGGGAATGGAACATCTCTCGTATGAGGAGAGACTGAGTGAGCTGGGCCTGTTTTCTCTGGAGAAGAGAAGGCTGAGAGGGGATCTGATTAACATGTATAAATTCATGAAGGGAGAATACAGGRAAGAAGGGGACAAGCTCTTTTCATTGGTGGCCAGCAATAGGACAAGGGGTAATGGGCTCACCTGGAAACACAGGAAGTTCCGTCTCCAGGTGAGGAGGAACTTCTYTMCTGTGAGGGTGACAGAGCAGTGGAACAGGCTGCCCAGGGAGGTTGTGGAGTCTCCTTCTCTGGAGGTCTTCAAAACCCGCCTGGATGCCACCCTGTGCCACATGCTCTACGTGTGCTTGCTTGAGCAGGAAGGTTGGACTAGATGATCTCTAGAGGTCCCTTCCAACCTTGAATATTCTGTGATTCTGTGATAAGCTGAAAAGAGAATGGAGCAGGCAAGAGAAAAGATGAAAAATAAGACTTAGAAGGTGCTCTTTTTAATGTCATGCTAGAGAAAAACGAAACATGAGACATGTTGGAGCAARCCAGGAAAAGCAAGAACTAGAACTATGATCAAGGGATTTATGGCTGAGGACTGCCCTGAAGCTGTGAAAATTAAAGAGGATACCTGAAGAAAGCCGAGTAATTGGAAGGACCTGGCTAGAGTGAAATCAGCTTGGAAGTCTGTCCAGTGAATCCATGCAAGTTCTTGTATTTGAAACATTACAAACTCAAATGCACCAAGTATTCATGTTGGAATTTATGATAAATTATTTTTGAGGATGCTTATCTAACTTATTATGGATTTCAATCAAATTACTCTAAGATATACCAAGAATAGAAAAATTTATACAAAGTTTTATAGACAAAATTTCAAAATATGTGTATGTGTATAAATGTAAAATTCACAGTTATGAGTGGTACATCTGTGTTGGAAAGTATTGTTATGTCACAGTGATGCATTTTATATATTATGTATTTATATATTATATATTTATATATTATATATTTATTTTATATATTATATATTTATATATTTTATATATTTGTGTTCAAAGAAATATAACATTTCCAAAAAATAAAGCCATATTTACTGTGAAAAAGCTGGAAAATTGTATTGTCTTTTAAAAGGCAAAAAGAGTGGGGAAAAACTGCTTTCAATGTATTTTAATCTTTTTTTTCTAGCATTTGAATTCTTCACAGTCAGTAGCCGTTAGAAAAAGTCTATCAGATATACAAATGCCTTCTGAAATTTCATTGAAATGCAACATAATTTAATGAGGCACTGCAGATGTGACTGCTGCATACCTGATGCTTGGAAGAATTTTTAACTTGATTTCTTTTTTTAGTTCTTAACAKTATTAGATTCTAACATGAGTTAAAAATAGTATGGAGCTAGGCATGATGTCACTTCTTTTGTATTCCTTGTAGAGCAGAAGTGGGTGGCTGGAACTGAATAAAAGCCGAGGAACTACCATGCTATTTGTAGTCAAAATTATTATGCTTCTACTGTTGCAAAGATAGGCTCTCACAGGACTACTGGCCTCCAGGCTTATGGAAGCTAAGCATACTGCTGCTATCCAGGAGAGATTAGAAAACATATTGCTCATGTTTCTGGAAAGTCATCACTGGGTACAATCCCAGAAGAACAAGTTCTGATGTATATTTTAAATAGCAGCTGCTCAGCATGTTAAAATATCCTGCATAGATTTATTCTGTTTTGCTTTGCAGAGAGTTGCTTTCATCTCAGTTATTTACAGATGTGGGACAGAAGTGGAAATTTGACTTTAAACTGAGTGGTTGCTGGCACTTTCCAGAGCAGAGGAAAACAGCCCTGGAAAAAATTAGGTGTTGTATGAAGGGGGAAAGTGTCTATCTTGCTCCCTTGATATTCTTCTATTTAATATCCATGCACACTCATATGCTTTCCCATTCTTTCCCCTTGAAAACATGCATGTGTGCTCAAATCTGATACTAATGTTTCCTCAGGACTTACAGATTTATCATAAAATCAAAGAATATTTAAGGCTAGAAGGGACTTCTGGAGATTGTCTAATCTAACCTCTCCTTCCAACCCACACTTACCACTAAAGTTTGTGGTGAAAAAGAAATTCTGTACCTTGGCCTTTCTGTGTCCTTTGTTGCCAGGTGCTCTGCTCCTTTGAGCAGTAGGTCCATATTTTCCCCAGTCTTCCCTTTGCTGCATTTTCTTTTACTTCTTGGAAGGTCAAAGTCTGGTCTTAGGAAATTCAGGGTTGTGATCTGTTTCTTTCTCTTCTTCTCCTTCCTCTCATGATCCTGAATTCCAGCAGAGCTGCAACCAAATCTGCCTGTGACCTCTACATCCACAACTAATTCTTCTTTCCTTGTAAATAGAAGGTCCAAGAGATATTCTCCTCTTTTCTGCTCAACAATAACCTGTAGTAGTAATTTGTCAGCACTGTACTTCAGAAACCTCCTGGGTCTCTTGTACCCTGCTGTGTTGTCCCTCCGGTGAATACTAGTGTTGTTAAAGTCCTCATGAGGACCAGGACCTGAAAATGTAAGACTACTTCTGATGGTCTGACTAAGGCCTCATCTACTTCTTGCTGATCGGGAGGTCTGCAGCAGACACCCACAACAACAAACAAAGGTCTTTCTTTTTTTTTTTTTTTTTTTTTTTTTTTAAGGTGCTATTGTCATATTCACTTAAACTGACAAAGCAAAAGAGAAGTGATAAGTTTAACACATTAAAGATATCAAAATGCCATCCTCTGGGTTCACTGTGATTTGGTCCATGCTCTGAAGAAAGCTGTTTTTAATTGACCAATACAATATAGAATCAAGATACTGAAAGAGAGGGCTAGCTAAATGTGTACAGATAACAATAACTTATATCCTTGGAGGACTGATAAACACTAAGTAAGAATGATG